GCCAGAGTTTATGCATGGGCGGTTGGCCGCGCCTGAATCGCCCGCCACTGCAGACCCCGCCATTCCCGAGGTGTACATACATCTAGAATAAATTCAGGGACTGCTTTGCTCATGCATGCACCGATCGCTGCGGCTGGGGCGGGGCTCTTTGAACCCTACTTCAGGCTAGGGCCTAATCATTGCTTGGGTTTTGCTGTCAGGGTTCTCGCCACATTATTGATGCCTGGTGACCACAAGGCTTCCCTTTGAATGGATGATTTTCTGGCCTCTTATGCATGCGTTGTCTGCCTGCTGCCCCTTTGCTTGTCTGTGATAATGGCCTCGAGAGGTTTCCCACTGTTGTGGCGAAATCTCATGTTTGCCATTTGCCACGTCCCGTATGCGCCTATGCCCCACTCGTCTTGCTCCCCTCTGTGCTGTAAGTGACAGCTCACAGTAATTGACAGCCCCATGCCTACACTCAAACGGCCTGCAGCGAGCATGTTATGTCGGACTGACTGTTCCGCTGAGCTCGCGATGTTACCGCACCTGATGGCCGCTACCTTCAGGTAGGAATGCCCTTAGGCCTACCTGTTTGCCTCAATGCCGCAGCACACAAGCAGCCCGACCAGCACGTGCTCAATGCATAATTTTTGGGGTACGGAGTGCAGGGATGGGGGTGGAAAGGGTCGTGACTTTGCGTGGGTGGGGGGAGGGGGAGCAGCGGGGAGCTGCCGGGGAGGAAAGATTCCCATGAGGGTGGTAGTGGGATGCGAGCAGAGGGCGAACCCCCCTCTGCTGCTGCTCTGGAGCCATGAAACCAGCAAGTTCACCAGGGCGATGATTTTCCGTCATCTGGGTCCGAGGGGCGGGGTGCGCCTGTCGGTCGGAAATCGGTTTTTTCGTGCACATTGCGCCAACCGCACCTGCAGCAAGTTGTCGGCTGCATGTGCTGCAATTCGCCCAGATCCTGTGAAGCATATGTGTTCTGCCCTCGTGATGACTTGGGTGTCCAACCAATCATGGGTTGTTCATGAGGGGAGTGAACCCGGAGTGTGAGAAACATGGGCTTGCAATTCAGGCACTTGCGCAAGGAAACCCGCATCTCCAAATGTTGGCGGCATGTGCTGCGCTCCACCGTCAATCCTGTGGAAGACTTGTAAGTGGGTGTCCCCTTCCATCTGCTCATTGTTGAGATTCGGCTGAGGGCTTGCACGCTCCATGGTGCAGGAGGACTTGGTCACATGTGTTGAGAGGTGGTGCCTGGCGCATGCCTGGAGGTGAGAGGCAGTGGGGAAAACTGCCCAACTGTCTCGAGCCCACTGCACATCAACAACGTCGTTATAACGACGCCGATCCGCAATAAACCTCCGTAAATGGTGGTAGCAAGCCTGGGTTGAGTCATGCATGTCACCACTCGTGGCACTACGTAGCACCCACGTCTGCAATCAGCCACGCGGACTGCTCTTGTGAGACACGCATGACAGCTCATTCGTTATCCATCTCAATTGTTTCCAATTGAGTACATCAGCGCGACGTGAAGGAGCTATAACTCGACGATGGATGCTCGTCATCTCAGCAGCGGGCCCGCCGGAGGGAGCCATGCCAGCCATGGACGCTCACGGAGGTACTTATGTGGTCGATAGCTCGCACGCACCTGCTGCTTGCCCAACGAGCATCGCGCGACAGCGTCACCACACGTTACTGCTCGTGCTGCTTTGATGCACCCGCATGCGCCCTTCCCCGCCGAGCCCAGAGCAGCGGCGCAGATGTCGAGCTGCGAACCATTGTGTGCAACATCCACACATACCCACTTTCTTGTACAGATCCCGGCGCGCAGCTGCTGGACCGACTTGCCCGCCCTGTCGCCGCGAGCGCCGGGTGCTGTTGGCTGCCCAGGCTGCCACCACAGCAGGCAGCCGCGGCCCAGCAAGCAGCGGCGGCGGCGGTGGCGGCGACGCCGCCTCGCCCTTATTCCAGCCGCCGCGGCCGCCGGAGTGGCCGCTGCTGATGCATGCGCCGGCGATGGCGTCCCACTTTTTCTCAGGCGGCAACCTGGAGACGCTTCTGCAGGTGGGGCAGCACGGCACAGCGTTTCAGCGCGCCGCTGAAGGGGTGCTGTCCGCCAGCCGCCGAAAATGACGGGCAAACCAATCCAGAGTCGCGCCCATGTGATGTTCGTGAGCAGCTGGGCAGATAGCAGCATACCACCTCCCCCAACTACCCTGTTCGGCCGCACCGCACCACACCGCACCACCCTCAATCGGCCGCGCGACACCTCTTCTCCCCAATTCTGCAGGACTGGGCACGCGCGTATGGGCCTTTCGTGGAGTGGCAGGTGCCAGGGGGGCCGCCTGTGCTGGTTGTCACGGATCCAGACGCGATACGCGAGGTGAGGCCGAGTGGCCCACCCGCGGATGTACTGCTGCCCTGTCAGCCCGAGGCGACGGTGCACACGATCGGCACGGGGTTCCATTCCTGGAACAGATATCCCCATGTTGCTTGGCATCACCCCCAGACGCATGCGCGGGCCGTGCGGTCCTGTCTGGCTCCCTTGTTGGCCCCCTGTCTTGCAGTTGTCGCCACCCCCTGGGTCCAGGGTCCCTTCATACAGACCAACTGATACGTCGTGCTCTCTTTCTCTCTCACACACACGCACATACGCATGCACACGCACACAAACACACACACGCACACACACGCACACACACACGCACGCGCGCACACACACACACACACTCGCACGCGCACACACACACGCACACACACACACACACGCACGCACACACACGCACACAAACACACACACACACACACACACACACACACACACATGCGCACACACTCACACACACACCACCAACCCGAAAGGTCTACGAGATCCAGCAGCTCCCCAAGTCCCCGCGCTACATGGACCTGCTGCCCCTCCTGGGCGCCCAGTCCATGGTGCTCACAGAGGGCGCGGTCTGGAAGGGCCAGCGCGACGCCTTCAACCCGGGCTTTGCCAGCGCCTTCCTGCGGGAGGCGGTGCCCCAGTTCGTGGACTGCACGCAGGTTTGTGTGTGGGGGGGGGGGCGCCGGTCCGGCCTGCACTGCAGGCTGGCGGTTGCGGTGGGCGGCAGGGTGTGCGATGTGGGAGATGGGGTGCAGTCTGGCTGGCCACCGGGAGATTGGAGGCAGTGATTTTTGCGGTTGACTACAGACTTTGCCCTCAATTGCAGACGTCGCTGTCAGTCGCCCCCCCAGTTGCGTCGCATTGTATGAGCCGCCTCGCTGTGGCTGCAGGTTGGGCAACCACCGCTGTTTTGCAGCCCATGCAAGGTACCTTGTGTTCACAATTTCCCCTCTTCCTCGCCCCTCCCCCCTTCGCGCCGCTCATGTTCGCCCCTTCACACCTGCCCGCTCGATGCCCCACTGCAGCATCTTGTCGACTGTTTGGAGGCGGCAGCCGACGAGGCGGAGGCCGCGGCCGCAGCCGCCACGGCGGAGGGGCGGCCCCCAGAAGCGGCGGCGGGCGCGCAGGCGGGCGTGGTGATGATGCACCAGCTCGCCATCCTGCTGGTGGGTGCGGGGCAGGGCCGCGGTTGCGGCTAGGTGTCGAGCCGCTGCTGCAGAGCTTTTGTTGGATCTGTACAATTGACAGATGGTGTTTGCGCTGCACGTCAATTCGCCATGACAGAGCCCACCACACTGGGAGCAACACAACACGCTTCGCGTGCACCTCATTAATCGTCAAAGACTGGAGCCCCAAAGACTGGAGCCCCAAAGGCTCGGACACCAAGCATTTCACCTCCCCCCCCCCCCTTGTAACCAGACCCTGGAGGTGATCCTGAAGGTGGGCTTTGGCGAGGAGGCCCTTTTCCTCGGAGAGGCAGGGCTGACCCACCCGCTGTACGCGGCCTTCTCCAACCTTGGACGCCACGTCACCCAGTGAGCCCGCCGCGGGATGGCTGACACGGGATGGTGTGTATCTGGATTGCATCCGATCCGTCGGCAACATGCAATCTAAGGCTTTGTGGGGGGTGGACTGACGGAGGTTATGCGTGAAATTTGTAGATGCTGCCGCGCGATGTTAATCAGTGATTTCCTGTGCCTGTACCCCTTCCGGCCTGCCTGCGTAGCTTCCTGGACAACCCCAGCATCAACTGGACCAAGAACCTGCCATGGAACAAGGCCAAGACAGAGCGGCTCAACAGGGTGCGCGCTCGCGGCGATGAGCGGCAATGCCGTCTTGCGCAGGCTGAGGGCATGAAGGAAGCTTCTGCATGCGGTTGTGCAGGCGGTTGGCGCGCTGCAGCAATTGACAGTGATGCAGCGGTTTATATAAATCCAAAACACCATGTATTGGTGCATCAACAGGATTGGTTGATTCAGAAGCCACCTCCACCTGCGCCGCGTCTATCCACATACTTTTCATCACACCCTGCGCTCTCCACATTATTCCACCTTTGCATTTCTTCCCTCTGGCTAGCCCGATCAACCCCTCGAACTGGCACCCCCCTCCAACATTTTCTCCCACCCAGGAGTACACTGCACTGATCATGGAGATCCTGCACCGCCGCCTCAAGGCAATGGGCGTGGACGCGGCAGCACTCGGCGGCTCTAACAGCGCTACCACCAGCACTAGCGGCACCCCCACCAGCAGTGGCTCGCCGTCCCCTGGCGGCGGCTGCCCGATGCACGCCGCCGTGGAGGCCGCGGCGCCCGCTGGTTGCCCCGCGCACGCGGGTGAGGGGCACGACGAGCAGCGCGGCGGCAGCAGCAGGGGCGCCAGCCCGAGCGGCACTGGCGGCGGCCGCACCATTCTGGATATTGCAGTGCAGTACAGCGCCGGCCAGGGCGGCGGCACCATCGACGTGGGCACCCTGAGAGACCAGCTGATGACGTTCTTCGCGGCCGGCCATGACACCACAGGTGCGCACATGGTGTTTCGTGCACTGCGGTGTTCGTTTTGGTCTGCACTGTGAACTTCCTGCCTCCGCAGACGACTTGCCAGCCTTGTGGCACATCGCAATATTGCCCAAAGCCTCCTTGCGCGCACAAGCACTTCCATTCAACTAGACGCTGACGAACCGCACCTCAGAGGACGCTCGTCGGCGTCTTGTGACGCACAAACGCCCGCCTTCGTTTTCCCACGTGTGCATGCTTCGCTACTCTGTACCACCCCACCTATCTGTCATTGATGCAGCGGCCTTGGTGGCTTGGACGGTCAACTACCTCTGCCAAAACCCGGAAGCCGAGAGGAAGCTGGCGGAGGAGGTGGCTTCGGTGCTGGGGCCGCCGCCTCGGGCCGATGCTGGCGGCGCCGCCGCTGCGGCGGTGCGCCCCAGCTGGCAGCAGCTGAATGAGATGCGGTACATGACCTGTGTCTTGAAGGAGACGCTCAGACTGAGGCCCCCTGGTGGGTGGGTGGGGTTGGAGTTTGAATCATGCGTTGACCTGATATGAGTGCTGTTTGATTGCGGCTTGCGACCTTATCTGGTCGGCTCAGGAGCATAGGGCGTTATGAATAGACGGTCAGCTCTGAGCTGCTGTCAAGTGGCTGCGCTGTGCGTTTGCCAGCCGCAGCTTGCCTTGGCCCTAAACACAGCTGAGCTGCGCTGTGCCTGCCGCTGCGCCCCTCGCTCCCAGTCGGCTTGCTGGCGCGGTGGGGCCCCGAGGGCAGCAGCCTGCGCGGCTACGACACCTCCGGCAAGGTGCGGCGGGGAGCCAGTGGCCCTTTATCATGGTGTAGATTTCAGGGTTCAGGGTTCAGGGGGTGCATGCCTGAGGGGGTGCACGCTTACTGCAGGTGCCAGCGTGCACCCCCCCACTGACCCCTGGTTTCCAGCGGAGCCCAGTCATGGCACGTGACCAGCAACACCCTGCGCCAGCCTGGCCGCTGCCCCCCCCAGCCGTACTTCGCCCCGCCCCTGCCTGCTTCACTTTGATCGTCAGCAGCGCGCTCGGCCGCCCCCAGGTGGCGTCCATGTTCGCTTTCTGCTCGCACCCGTACCTCCTCACCCCCCCACCCTCCAAACCCAAGGTGCTCGTGGTGGGCCCCTACCTGCAGCACACAGACCCGGCCGCCTGGGGCCCTGATGCTGACCAGTGGCGGCCTGAGCGGTGGGAGGACCCCGCTGGCGCGGCTGAGGGGGTGCACCCCTACTCCTACATGCCCTTTTCCAGGGGACCGCGCGGTGGGTGGTGGCGGTCAGGGTGGTGGGGGCTGGGGTTGAGGGAGCCAGGAAGTCCAGCAGGGTGCCAGGGGAGCAGCGCGCAACTGTGGAAAGCCCAGGATGTATTTGAACGAGCAGCCGCCCATGGCCGGGAGGGGTGTGAGCAGGTAGGGGTGTGAGTTACCTGTTTGCTGCGCGCGATCGCACGGGCTGTCGGCTGGCTTGGGGATTGATGCGGTCTGCAGCCTTTGGTGCTGATGGGGGGAAACCAAACAGCCGAGCCTGCATGGAGCCATCAATTAACAGAAGACTGGAAGCTGCGCAACACAGAGGTTGTGGGGGCAGCCAGGGGGCTGCCGTGCAGCATGCACCACACCAAAGGGCACGAACGTTTCTCCCTCTCTTCCCCAGCCGCGCCCCCACACTTCCTGCCATCCTCGTCACCCGCCTGCTCGATTCCGCTGCGTGCTCATCCCCCCGGCTCGTCCTGACAACCCCAGACTGCATCGGGGCGCGTTTCGCTATGCTGGAGGCCAAGACGATCCTGGCAATGGTGTACGGCCGCTTCAAGCTGGAGTATGCGGGTCGGGGGCCCGAGGAGATGCTGGTGTCTGTCACGGTGCACCCCAAGGGCGGCGTGCCTGTACGCGTGACGCGGCGATGACGCGGCCGCCTGCGCGGATGGCAGAGGCCGCCTGCGCGACTCCATTTGACGGGGCAAGTGCGAGGGTGGATCATGGGCTGCCTGCCGCCTGCTCGCATGAGTTACGAGGTCGCGTGGCGTTGCGCACAGCCGTGCCCGCTTGCAGTCTGTGTTTTTGAATCCTGTGCGGCTGATTGTGTCGGCAGCGCAGCCGTTTCGCCCGTGCCTGCGCAGACCGGACCGGCGCCTGTGGTGCAAATTTCAAGAACTTGCGCTGCTGCGGTAATGGGCGCTGCAATCAGATAGCCCCTTTCTTATACCACTGGCGCCGGCGGCCAGGCCCCCAATCCACAATTCAGTTAAGTGCTGCAGTACCAGCGGCAGAGTGCATTGTCAAAAACACACTGTGGTAAACTGCCACAGGTGGCAGTGATCCGGGACACGCTGTGGAAGGTCGCAGTTGTTGAGAACATGCGACAGGGGAGCGCATTTATTGCAGGGAACAAGCTGCGACGGACTGTCCCCGGCCGCTCCCACTTGGAGGCACGATGCCGCTCGCCGCCGGATGCCGGACCTGCGCCCTTTTTCAGAACCTGGGCCCAATTGGATCGGTATGGGCGCCCCCAACCCCAGCCAACGTGCGTGAAGGCAACCTGCTAAGAAGAATTACATACTTAGGGAGGCTGTCTGCCATCCATTTTTTGCATGCAGCTGCTGTCGTGCACGATTGGCGCGGAGGCCCAGCCGGGATTTGGTGCTGGACAGTTGACATGCACAATCATGCATCATCACGCAGGCAAGTGACTAGTCACGGCTCCCACAGATTCATCCATCACTCCACACGCCACCGCATTTCAACACATCAGTTCCACTCTGCAGCGCGCATATCCCAACTGACCCCTACAGTGTGCATGACGAAAACAAAGGCGGCGGTAGGGCCATGTGACTTTGAACATGGCTAGCTGGTGAGCACTGACCTTGGCAGGTGCGGCGCCGGAATTGAATCAGCAAGAAAGCGAGCTGCAGCTGGCAAACCGTCTGCGCGATGTGCGTGGGGCGGCAACAGCCCCGTGCTCAAGGTGTGTACGTCGTTGGGCGTCAAGCGACAGGCCATGAATCCCGGCCATGTCCTGAAGAGGCCTCGGCCCCATGAGGCCCCACTGGGCCGTGGGCCGGGTTCTCAAGCTGTGGGGGTTGGATGCGTGGCAGCGGGCGGATGAAGCGGATGCCCCAATCATCACCAGATCGACACAAGCTGCGCTAGCGGCCGGCGCAAGGCAGGCATGGTGCATGGTGTCATGCACTGTAGCTGCTGTGTGTTCGGGCGGGGAAAGATTCTGCTTGCGCCGCCCCACACCACCCGGTGCAGCTGATGTCATCAGAGCCTGTGACAGCACTGTTGCAAGCGGGCGAATAGGGTGGCACCCCTAAACCCTGATGCAGCCCTGCCTTGTTCCAAAGAGCCTTGTGATGTGTGCACCTGGGGATGCGGGCACATCTAGTTGTCGGTCATGCACTGTCCACACGCGATTGGTGCCTCGCACGGGCTGGCGCCTGCTGGGGTGGCAGTACCGCCACTGGTTTGTAGGGAAGCTGCCTTTTGGTGTTGTGTGTGTGTGTGTGTGTGTGTGTGTGTGTGTGTGTGGCTGTGAGGGGGGTGACAAGCACATTGGTGTTGTCATGCCCTGGCCCTGTTGACTGACTGGAGCACGCTGTGCTGGGAGCCCTTTGGGGTGCTCACCAGCCGAGTTACAGGCTGCCTGTGTCTGAACTGCTGATGACAGTTTCAGGGCACATGTAAGGCTCACATGCACCTGGCTGATGTGATTTGACACGAATTGTGTGGAAGGGCTCGTCTTCAGAAGTGTATGGGGGATCACACAAATCTTGTGGCGGAATGGAGCCCCGCGTGGGGTGCAAGGTACTTAATACGGGCACCAACTGCCGCTAAAAACATCCCAGATGCAGCCACAAGTCTTCAGCAACGGCGCGTTGAATATGCAAGCCAGATACCCGGGGGAGGTGGTTCAGGCCAGGAGGAGCTTCATACAAGCACAGGCCGCAACAGCGTTGGCAGGCGAAAGCAAGGGCACAGCGTCGTGCTGGCAAATCAAGGCAAACTAACAGAAGCCACTTGCTGGACTTGGTCGCGCCCAGTGGGCACTGTCTGGCACCCGGGGGACAGCCATTGCAGGCGCTGTCACGCGTGTTGATTGGTATTGCAGGTGGCTGTACTGTGGTTGGCATGGCGGTGGCCTCCAGTGTGTCGCCCCCACAGACAGGCCTTCAAAAGCTGATGACAGCAACACGCGAGCACAGCTGGCTGTCAAAGCGGTTCGCGACGCCGCCAACAATGCACATGACCAGGAGAATCGACGGCATGCACATGCGGCGACCGCGCGCTTCCAGGCGCTTTGAAGCGCTTGGCCACGCACACGCAATGGCTCGCATGCGCAGCAACGATTGAAATGGGCACGGGATGGCGCCAGAAGGGGGGCGCAGAATCAGAGTGAAGCAGTATTGCTGAATATTTGACGGGCGACCGCTGTGAGAGACACAAGCTCAAGTGAGACACGACAGCAGGGGCAAAGAGGGAGCTTAGCACCTGTGGGTTGCTTTAGGGCGATAGGGCAGCCGCGCAGGGCGGCGCGGAGCTGAGGGTCTGCCGCCTGGAATGATCCCAAGGCGTGCGCGAGCGTTGCAACGAGGACTGTAACTGGTTCTGTGGTGCGAGGAACGGCAGAGCGCGCGGCGGCACGCAGAATTCCACGTGGCGTGTGAGCACGGAACGGCAAATTATGATCGATGCGCTGTGAAAGATGGCAAGCTACGACGCCAAGTGAAGGCGATCCAGAGCTGCGTGTAGAGACAAGTGATAAATTTGATGATGATGACAACCACCGCCATGGCCTGAGCCCGTCGTGGGGCCGGCATCGCATGCGACATGGCAACACAAAAGACGGCACCGCGTTCACAGAGTGTTGGCGAAAGCGCCGGGCTTCTCATCCCCCACCAGCGGCGCGGAGTGCATTGGGCGCCGCTTGGAGCGCTCTTTCCTGAGGAACAGAGCAAACGCGGCCGCGGCCAGCGCCGCCGTGCCCGCCACGCTGGCCACCACGCTCACGGCGATCTTCCAGGCCTCGCCCCCGCCGGCGCCGCCGGCGCCCTGCACCGCCGCTGCGCCGTTGGCGCCGCCCTGGCGGGCCCGGTAGGCGACGCACCCGTTGGTCTGGTTGTTGCGGCACGCCTCGCACCATGCCCCCAGCTTGTCAATCCCCGCACCACCGTACGCACGAGAGAAAGCGGAAAGCTCGCACGCCCCCGGACCCGCGAGCGCCTCGGCGGCCGCGGCGGCCGCCGTGTCGCTGGCGGCCGCGCCGCCAGTTGAGCACTGAGGCAGGGGAACGGCCTGGTACTCCGCGTTTGGGCCGTTTTGGAACACCAGGCGTACCGCGAGCAGGTGGCCGGTGGCGCTGCCGTTCCAGGGGCCGTGGTGGAGCTCGAAGGCGAGCACCGCTGACGTGGCTGGCAGGGTGGCCAGCCAGGGAAGCTGCACGGGTGTGAGGGCGGTGTCGAGGGCCATGGCGGCGAGGAGGCCGAGCTGGGTGTTGTAGTGGCCTGACGTCAGCAAGAGGCGGTAGAAGTGGGCCTGATGGAATGGTGGGGGGCAGGGAGGAATGAAGCAGGCGGTCTTCTTAGGAGCGGTTGCGTGCAAGGAGCAGCCATGGGTTGCGACGGCTTAGGGAGCAACAGTGCTGTTTTGATCCTGGCCAAGTCAAAAGGCGCGACAGGGCAGGTCAGGGCGCAGCAAGGCTGCCAACATCCGGGGAGCTGATTGCAACAGGCGCGGAGGCATGCAAGCGCCCCTGGCAGCTAGGGCCCTGCTGCGGTCGTCATTCACGGCACACGTGCGTGCTTGAATTACGCGGCCTGTGGCCTGTGCCGCTGCCTCGTGGAGCCCCCCGCCCCTGTGCACGCACCCTGTCTCCGGCCGTGACGGCGTCCGCGGCCGCCTGCAGGCGTGCGATGATGTCACCAAGGAGCGGCCCCCCCAGGCCATTGCCTGTGAGGTTTGACCTCATCTTGGCGGTCTCCAGCCACTCGGCAATCGCGGACACCTGATCGTGGGGTATGCGGATCGGGGGACGCAGGTGTGAGAATGTGGAAGCCCCACTCAAGACACCTGGGGATGCACACACGCGCGCGTGTTTGTTCAACGCGTGCGCGGGGCTGCTTTGGCAGTGCCAGCGGCTGTGGGAAACGAAGTTGGGTCCCCGGGATGCGCGGCGCTCAAGCCGTGCTGAGCAACAGCTGGCTTTCTTGCTTTCGGCAGGACCCAGCCAGCAAACAAAGGTGCTATGTTCGCAGAGGCCATGGCAGCGCGAGTGCTCGTTCGCAGGTAGGAATAGAGGCGCAAGCTGCAGCCGCAGCGGCCCCAGAGGACGGAGCCCGTACCTGCTTGAACTGGGTGGCGGGTATGTCTGGCATCGCGTCGCCGACGCCGTACTTGCGCCACACGTTGAAGGCGTCAAAGACTGTTGGGTGGGGGTGGGGGGGATGCGAGCGTGGCGCATGAGTTGGCGGGACGTGGGTACATACGTGCGTGGTGGGGCCGCATAAGTGCCGCTTTAAAGGGGTGGGAGGCAAACGGGCCGCAAGCGTCTGAGACTAGCGGCGGATGCGCAAAACGCATGCAGGGCGTGAGCACGTCGTGCACAGATGGAGGCTCAGGCGCTGCCGTTTGCACGCCCGCCCGGCTCCATGGCGGCCCTAGGCCCGCGGGGATCACCCCATTGGCCCTGCTGGAGGTTGGCCCCGCCCCTTATGCCCCCTGATTCCACGTGCGATGTGCAACACCCCCATAAGACGGAGACCAGCCATCTCTGTGACCACTCTCCATGCACAGGCCAAGAGGGACGAGTTGCTCCCACGCTTCGATGCACGACCCCTTCTGAACCCAGAAACAAGCCCCGTAACTCAAACCCGCAACTCAACCCCACAACCAAACCTGTGACTCAACCTTGTGATCAAACCCCGTGACTAAACGCTGTGACTAAGCCCCAGACCCAAACCCCACAACAAAACCCCAGGACCAAAACCCTGAACGCACCGTTCCACCAGTTGGTCAGAGACACGTCCAGGTTGGGCGCCCGCGCGCCGACCGCCTCGCGCGTCGCCTTGGTCTCGGCCTCCTTTGCTGTGAACTCGTCGGACTGGAACCACTGCAGCAGGCGGTCCTGGTAGGCGCTGCTCGCAACGCGAGGTTATGGGGTTTTCCGCGATGTTTGGGGGGGGGGGTCGGCAAGAATAGGAGGGTTCGGTGGGGCTGGTGTGCAGGGATGGTGCAGGAACTGGGAGTTGACAGGGAGGATGCGAACAAGGGTCAGCGATCCGACGGCATATTTGGCAGCCACGGGTGTGCGGTGCTGCGGCCACCTTGGCCAGAGGGCCGGCACGGATGGCCGGTTGCGTGCCGCTGGGCGCATCTGGCAGGCTAGCACGTACGCGCCGAGCAGCAGCGTAATATGGGCGGGCGGCCCAGATTATGGCGGCCTCAGCTTGGCCGGCCCAGAGTCAGCAAAGTCGCGCCGCTTATGCGTGATCAGCCCCCAGGCCGGCTGCTCGGCAGGTGATGAGAGCCCCCGTGCCGGGTGGGTCATCATGTATGCTGGGGCCCCGTGTCGGGCGGCGTGGCGGGTTGGTGGCCAGCGCACCTGCATTTGGTGTAGGCGCGGACAGTCCAGTCCTCCGTGTCCGCGACAGTGTAGATGGGAGGAAGCTTCGGGGAAGGGGTTTGGGGGTGGACGAGACCAGGGAAGGGGGGGGGGCGCAGGTGTGAGGAGGGGGGCCAGTTGACTGCGGTGCCGCGCAGCCCCAGCAGCGATGCATCTGCAAAGCCTGGAGGGCTGGCGCATGCGGGCTCCAGCAGCACTGGGCAATCTGAGGGGCCGCCGCGTGTCGCAAAACACGCCGCGCCGCCCGGCCCCGTCCGCCCAGCTCGCCCCAGGCCCACGCGCCCCACCTGCGAGACGAAGCTTTGCGACACCGCCTGCACGCCGGCCGCGCCCGATGCGGCCGCCGCGGGGGCCGGCGCGGCGGTGGGGAAGGCGCCGCTCAGGAAGGCGGCGGCCGACTTGATGGTCCTGTCGAGGGAGCTGGATCTGACAAGGGTGTCGTAGTTGCTGAAGCCGACCCCTGCGGTGTTGACCAGGCCGTAGATTTCGGCCCCTGGCAGGGACAGGCAGGTCTTGGTGAGCGCGCAGGAGGGGTGGGCCAGGTACCTGTCCCGGAAGGCGGCGCCTGCAGAGGGGAGGACGCGTCGGGGTTCAATGGGGTCGCGCAAGAGGGGGGTTGTGCGTCGGATTGCTGGCGCGGCGGCGGCAGCGGCGCTCTCGCCGCCGCGTCGCTGCGGGCAGACGGGGCGGCCCGCAGGAGGGGGCTCCTGCCGAGCGGGGCTCGAGGCGCAGGCGCACGGCGGCACGACGGCGGTCTCAAAAGCGTCCCCGCGCACCCACCGGCCGCGCGGCTGCCGTTGATGCCCTGCGGCAGCAGCGTCGGGCCGCCGGTGGCCTCGTCCTCCCCCAAGGTCGCGTTCTTGGGCAGCACGTTGCGGGCGCCGTGGCGGGTCACTGCCCAAACGAGCACCACCTCGCCCTGCGCCGCCTGCGGCGCCGCCGCCGCAAGGGCAAGCAGAAGGGCGAACGGCAGCGCGAGCTGCATCTTTGATAAATGGCAAAAATACGTGTGGTACAAACTGCTTTGCTGTCCCGACGCTTAGCGATCTGCGTGGGTGAGTACCAGTGACCTTCGTCAACGCTGGCCGGTCTGCCCAAAGAGATATCGCAAGACGACATACATCAGCTGCTTGCGTGCTAACGGCTCGTGATGCAGCATGTGGGGCGCCCGAGGAGACTGCCACCGGCTGGGGAGCTGCTTGAGTGGGCCACCGGGCGCTCGCCGGGCACATGCAAGGGTCCATGGGTCCGCGGAAGGGGGCCAACGCATCCGCTTGCTTATGTTGGCTTCTGATCCTGTTCTGAGTCCTCTTGGCAGAATGCACTAGTGCCGCAGCTTTGAATGCGTTCGCACGTGTCCCGCGCGTGCCGCCCTACGGGGTCGCAGGAAGCATATCATTTCAATTGGGCAGCAAACAAAGCTTCGCCTTGGCTCAGCACGGCACATCATTCCCAGCATCTGACACGCAGCTGTCACATACGGAAACCTGTATGTCATGACAGGGATGGACGTGTTGATGCGGGGACGCGCCCACCCATGGGCGTGCTGCTGGCCCACAGGGGGTGGCGTTGACCAGTGGCGCCTGGGCTGCGTGGCCACGCAATCCACCAGCGGGATATGAACCATGTATTGACATGCTCAGGATTGCAATATACGTGTGCGATGGCCAGCACCGCGGCAGACAGGGTCGTTGCTGCCACCACCATTTGGGCAGGCCTGCCTGGCCGCCGCCATAGGACACACAGATGCACACACGGAGGGGCATGCTATGCGGGTGCTTTGCACACACGCGACATGAGTCGCAGGCCTTCGTGCCAGGGCGTGAGTCCCCTCTCCTGCTGCTCAACGGGTAGCTTGCTGGGATCCGACCAAATTTGCCTGAAGACGGACGGATCCTAGTCGTGTCCCCCTCACCGCCTGCGCCAGCGGCGATTTTGCCCTCTCATGCAGCGGATGGCTAGACAATAAGATTTTTTTGTGCAACTTGTGGTTCCAACATGTACAGTACCCGTACCAGGCCCTGCATGGCCATTCTGACAAGGCGCACACTGAGTCACCCGCCGCCGCGCCACACGTGCTGCAGTTTTGCTTTGATGAACCCCGGCCCTTGCGTCACCAATCATAGTTCGCGAAGATGAAGCCGAAGAAGGCTGCTTTGCGCAGCAAAACAAGTACTGCAGACCCCATAGCCCGCTTCGTTCTGCAGCTTTCCCTGGTCTCACTATCTGGGACCCTGAAGGCCTTGTGCTTCAAGCCTATCGGCAGTTTCTTGTCATTGTACCTTGTGTGCGGGCGGCTCACCGTCGCCCTGTTGTCCTGGCTGCAAACCGAGCTCTCCCATTCGGTGGCTTGGCTGTTCCAGCCTGTGTTCAGCAACAACGACAGAAACGGCTGGATATACCGCCTGAGCCGGCAGTATGGCCTGGTGGCGCTCAAAAGATGGCAGGGCATCGCTGGTGAGTCCGCGGCTTGCTCTGGGCCGCATGACAAATTTGTGTGATGAGAAGGGCGTTTGATGCGTGCAATTCACGCACCGCACCCTGCCCTGAGCTCCATATAGCACTCGGCAGACCACGTGGCCATATCGACTCTCCGTCAGCATCAGCACCTGGCTGGGCACAGCATGCCTGGAACGTTGTGGATAATGCTTGGAGTTTCTTACATTGGACTGTTGTGACAAAGCGTTCGAAGGGGTTCTCACCGGCCAGGACGGACGACGTGCGCGTATGCTTTGCCCGTCTCGTCGCTCCGCAGGCACACTCGTCGCGGCCAGCGTCGCGCGCAGCCTCGCGCGCCTCGTCCGGGAGCGCTACGACGAGCGCGCGCGCAGGGTGCGCGATCTTCGCGCGGCGATGGGCGCGTCCGTGAGCTATCCCGAGTGGCGGGCGCTGGCGCGGCAGCTGGACCATCTTGATGACAACCGGCTCGGGGGCCGGTGCTTCATCCAAGAGGGTGCGTCCCCGCCCGGCTCGCCAGCCACGCTTGACGCGGCCTCGCAAGCGCTCTGGCCAGCAGCACCTCTTTGCGCTTGCACGCATGGATCAATCCGTCCCGCACAGCCTTGTGGCGGTGGGGGTTGAGAGGTCACGCTGCGTTCGCTGTTGTCGGGGTCAGGCACATGCACAACTAGCCGAGCGGCGCGGCGCCCCCGCCCCTCCTGCAGGCAAGCTGTACGACCGGAAGCTGCTGCTGCAGAAGCTGTCGCACCTCAAGTCGGTGCGCGCGGGCGGCAACATTCGAGAGATGATGTTCAGCCTCAGGGCAGACCTCGTGCGCAACGTCGCCAACATATCCAAGAGGTGCGCGCGCCGCGCCGCGCCCCGGCCCCCACCAACACGGCCCACCACGGAACTTGTGTTGTGTACTGAACCATGAAACCAGGGAGGGGCTAGCGGCCAGACGGCTTGGCGTCTCGTCTGACTGGAGGCGCACGTTCCGCGGCTGCAGTGTCGCGCCAGAGGCCCGCTGCCCCTCCGGGGCGGGCAGGCTTGCCTGCACCGCCGCCGCTGCGGCTAATCCCAACCTTCCGCCCCCGACCCCTCCGCTGCCGCTGCTTGCGACAACCCCGCAGCCAATTCCACGAGCACTCGTACACGGTGCCCTCCGCCATCCGCGAGTGGACACAGGAGGTCAAGACGCAGGTGGGGCCCCACTCACACGCTGGGGGTCTACACATTACATTACATTACATTACATTACATTACATTACATTACATTACATTACATTACATTACATTACATTACATTACATTACATCACGCTTTTCCAGCAGCGAGCGGAAAAACCCTGGCTCCCCAAAGGGGTAACGCCCTCAACCCTGGACCGGGTCCGCCAGGGATGGCTGAGCTGTCCGGCAGGGGTTGGGGGTGCGGTGGGGACGCGGCGGACGACCCAGCTGCTCACCGGGGTCGCGGAGACGGGCTTGCCGCTGGGTGCATGGCAGCAAGTCAGGGGCGCTGTCGGCTCGCCTGCCCGCGCCGGCTGATGTCACATCTCCCCTTTGGCGCCGCGCCTCTTGTCTTCCTCGTCCCCACTGCCAGCTGTCCACGCTGGCGGACTGGCCTGAGGCGGGGATCAGCAATGAGGAGAAGCTCACGTTCTTCAGGTTAGTGGGGGAGGGCGGGATAGGGGAGGAGATCGGGGTGGCGGCGCCGGGGCGGTGCGTGTTGCGTGCAGCGACGGCACGGGCTCTGGTGCTTGGGGGCAAGGGTCACCGCGGCAGGTGGTTTGTATGACAGCAGCGGATGGCTGGCCGCGCTGCCTTGCGGTGGAGGCGAAAGGCGGACTGTGTCCCTGAGGCCCTGTGACTGCGCGTGTCACTTTTGCGCGTGTGCTTCTGAGGGCCCACCGACTCATCTCAACTCGCGGCCGTCTCCCCCCACTTCTGCGCCTGCGCCTGCGCAGGGAGGTCCGCCACGCGTACGGCCGCACCGCCCTGCTGCTCAGCGGCGGCGGGAGCCTCGGCAGCTTCCACATCGTGAGCGCCCGTTTTGGGGGGCAGGGCTTTGGTGCGGCCACTGGCAGTGCCTCCGTGCTGCTACACCCTGCTTTCTTGTACCATCAACGCTTTAGGTTTCGACATCACCTGGTCGATGTCATCTACCCTTGCTTCAGGTATCTACAACACAGACCACCCAATTGATCACACATACACACTCACCGATGTACGCCAAATGCAAATTGCAACTTCCCCCCCATCAAAATACCGCCGCCCGTCCGCCCAGGGCGTGGTCAAGGCGCTGTTTGACCACCGCATGCTGCCGCGCGTGCTGGCGGGCAGCAGCGCGGGGTCCATCGTGGCGTCGCTCATTGCCACGCGCACAGACCTGGAGCTGGGGGACATGTTTGACAGCTTGGAGCAGGTG